AGACATAGTCCAAATATACTGTACCTTAAAACAAACATCTCATCCTTAACCATTTTACTATATTACTTTAGTCAACCTTTAACATTCAACATATATAACCTTTAATTATTATTTTAATAAATTCCAGTCCCAATTAATTTATTCTTATTTTCTAAGGTCAATGTCAATTTTTCTCTGTGTTCATTCTTCTTTGTGCTCCATGTGTGAGTGTAAGTAAAACTTCTTCATCAGTGTGTGGGTGCGTGAGTGGGGCCTTCCTACTCATGCTTTCTGGCACTAAAATGTCACAGAAAACTAGGCCTTAGTCTGCCATTCTGAGAGTATGTATGTATGCACTGAGTATACAAAACATTAAGGACACTTGCTCTTTCCATGACATAGACTGACCAGGTGAATCCATGTGAAAGCTATGATCCCTTATTGATGTCACTTATTAAATCCACTTCAATCAGTGTAGATGAAGGGGAGGAGACAGGTTAAAGAAGGATTTGAGTCTTGAGACAATTGAGACATGGATTGTGTATGTGTGCCATTCATAGGGTGAATGGGCAAGACTAAATATTTAAGTGCCTTTGAATGGGGTATGGTAGTAGGTGTGTATATATATTTCAATAGTGGAGGTTAGTCATGAAATTTACAGTACTATAAAAAAGAAGTTATCAAATGCACTGCACACCACAATAGCATTAAATCAAAGGAACACAAATCACAAAGAGCTGAAGTGAAAAATATCAATAGCATTTAATCACCAAATATCATATATAAACATTTAGAGATTATTTTTTCATGTGGCAGACAAAATGTTGTACAAAGTTGGCCTTCTTCCGTTGACTGCTTTGAGTCATCTGTACAAAACACGAGGTGACGTGTACAACCGCGCACAAGGAGAGGAAACGCTGTCCCAAGCAAACAACAATAATAGCAGCAAACCAAACCAAAAGTACAGAAAGACATTAAACATTCATATTATTTCATAGCCTAATAAATAAAACGATTAGGAAAGATGTTACAGACTTTTTAAAATAAACTGCTTAAAATGCCCATCCCCCCTATATTTTTCAAAAACATTCAACGTTCTTTAAATTTTGCAATGAACAAACTGCCCACTGAGTGCATTCTCACAATCAATGCTATTACCTAATTTATAACAGGTAATATGAAGCATAATCAAAGGTCAATCAGAGGTCATCGACCATAACCCCCACATGCCAATCAGATTCTCACAACACTCATAGTGTAAGGTAGCTCTGGTCCAGGACGTCGTTTGGCTGCGCTCTCAAAGCTGAACGACGCCCTGGACCAGCGCTACGTGTAAGGTGGCACCCATTGGGAAATCCCCACGGAGTGGGAGAGTGCTTAGGCTACTCACGCTCACCTGTAAAGAAATGTCAAATACTTTTTATTACTAGTTTATACATCAATCTGGAAATCTTCCATAAAATCATGCAATAAGTACATCATAAATTAAAAGTACCAAACTAAAACACTGACTTCAGAGTTAATAGCATACTGTATAAAGAGCATTAGTCCTCCTATAATGTGGACTTAGAGTTGTTTTCAATATTTAATTCCCCCAAATCAATCATGAAAAGCCCAGATAAAATGCTATTGCGTCTTTAAAATGCCCATGGTCTGGGATGGGTACTGGGTTGAGGTGTGCAGCTTCGCTGTATATAATTTTTGTTTGTTAATTTACTTTTGTAAACACGTTCTTCTTGTTGAGACGATTATTTGTATGTTTTGTACGAACAGATTTTTGTCTAGTCTTGTCTGTCTTGAATAATATATAAATAATAATAAAAAACATGGTCCAAACTGAGTGTTCTTCAGTCCCCAACCCTCCCCAGATACGATATGAACATGTCATATGCCATGTATTTTTATTTTAGAATTACAGAAAATTGGCTGTAAAACTGCAACATTTTCTCTCAGCCTCATGGCAAAATGTGTAGAATAGCAGGAAATTAGCTTTAAAAATGCAAAATTGTCTCAGCCTCATGGCAAAATGTGTAGAATAGCATGAGATCCTGCAGTATACCACTGAACTACAGTGTAGAGGGAGATGACACTGAGCACTGGGGAAGCAGGCTATCCAGGCTGTCCTTCATCCACGCTCCGCTCTTGGTCACACAGGTGACTGCACCTTTTCACAAACAGACTGGAGCAGGCTGAACGATAGCTGTGCCTCTGTGTCCATGGGGAAATGACAAGGGAAAGTACTGTAACTGCACTCCCAACTGTGCTGTTTCAACTCTGCGCTGTTTCAATTGTGCTATATCCCTAATACCTTGCCGTCTGAGATGTCATCCTAGACTATTTGTAAGTCGCTCTGGATAAGAGCGTCTGCTAAATGACGTAAATGTAAATGTACACGTATCTCCCTTCATCTCACACAGTCCACGCCACCTTAACATTTCCCATGGCCCACAAAATCCATCCAGGGCTGTCCTTTCAGTCAGTAAGTCCATAGAGTCGAGTGTGCCTTTCTCCAGGTCTGGAGCAGCAGTGTCCACTGTCCAGATCTGAGCTCTAAAGTCCCGCTCATCCAATAGCAGTGCACCAAGGCACTGCTGGGTGGAACACCAGGCAGACATGAAAGAAAAAACATTTTACAAATATTTCATCAAAAAAAGCGTGTCAAAAATATGACTCCTTTTTCTATAACCCAAATGTGTTTCTTCATAAAGGCTTCCAGGGACTAGAAGGGAATATCAACAAAGGGTGTCAGGGAATGGCATCATCAAATGTTTACACTGAAAGCTGCCCATACATAAGCTGCATTCTCCAGAAGTTAGCATACACAAAAGCATGAGCTTTTCAGATCACATGGACAAATCATTGCACACGATGCAAGGTGAAGCTTCAGTAGGTCATCTTCAACCATCCAAATGGAGTATAACATTTGACATATAGGCTATGCATGTTTGTTCATACATCTAATTCCATACATGTATTTTTGTTTTTATATAATATATATATGAACAAAAATATATCTATGGAATGAGATATATATATATATATATATATATATAGTATATATTTCCATAGATTTATATATATGCAGTACCAGTCAAAGGTTTGGACACACCTACTCATTCAAGGGTTTTTCTTTATTTTTACTATTTTCTACATTGTTGAATAATAGTGAAGACATCAAAACTATGAAATAACACATATGGAATCATGTAGTAAGCAAAAAAGTCTTAATGTGTTATATGTTAGAATTGAGATTCTTCAAAGTAGCCACACTTTGCCTTGATGACAGCTTTGAACACTCTTGGCATTCTCTCAACCAGCTTCATGAGGTAGTCACCTGGAATGCATTTCAATTAACAGGTGTGCCTTGTTAAAAGTTAATTTGTGGAATTTCTTTCCTTCTTAATGCGTTTGAGCCAATCAGTTGTGTTATGACAAGGTAGGGTTGGTAAACAGAAGATAACCCTATTTGTTAAAAGACCAAGTCCATATTATGGCAAGAACAGCTCAAATAAGCAAAGAGAAACAACAGTCCATCATTACTTTAAGACATGAAGGTCAGTTAATCCGGAACATTTCAAGAACTTTGAACGTTTCTTCAAGCGCAGTCGCAGAAACCATCAAGCGCTATGATGAAATTGGCTCTCATGAGGACCGCCACAGGAATGGAAGACCCAGAGCTACCTCTGCTGCAGAGGATAAGTTCATTAGAGTTAACTGCACCTCAGATTGCAGCCCAAATAAATGCTTCACAGAGTTCAAGTAACAGACACATCTCAACATCAACTGTTCAGAGGAGACTGCGTGAATCAGGCCTTCATGGTCGAATTGCTGCAAAGAAACCACTACTAAAGGACACCAATAAGAAGAAGAGACTTGCTTGGGCCAAGAAACACGAGCAATTGACATTAGACCGGGTGGAAATCTGTTCTTTGGTCTGATGAGTCCAAATTTGAGATTTTGGGTTCCAACCGCTGTGTCTTTGTGAGATGCAGAGTAGGTGAACGGATGATCTCCGCATGTGTGGTTCCCACTGTGAAGCATGGAGGAGGAGGTGTGATGGTGCTTTGCTGGTGACACTGTCTGTGATTTATTTAGAATTCAAGGCACACTTAACCAGCATGGCTACTACAGCATTCTGCAGCGATACTTCATCCCATCTGATTTGCGCTTAGTGGGACTATCATTTGTTTTTCAACAGGACAATGACCCAACACACCTCCAGGCTATATAAGGGCTATTTGACCAAGAAGGAGAGTGATGGAGTGCTGCATCAGATGACCTGGCCTCCACAATCACCCGACCTCAACCCAATTGAGATGGTTTGGGATGAGTTTGACCGCAGAGTGAAGGTAAAGCAGCCAACAAGTGCTCAGCATATGTGGGAACTCCTTCAAGACTGTTAGAAAAGCATTGCAGTTGAAGCTGGTTGAGAGAATGCCAAGAATGTGCAAAGCTGTCATCATGGCAAAGGGTGGCTACTTTGAAGAATCTAAAATATAAAATATATTTTGATTTGATTTGTTTAACACTTTTTTTGGTTACTACATGATTCCATATGTGTTATTTCATAGTTTTGAAGTCTTCACTATTATTCTACAGTGTAGAAAATAGTAAAAATAAAGAAAAGCCCTTGAATGAGTAGATGTGTCCAAACTTTAGACTGGTACTGTATATATATATATATATATATATATATATATATATATCTCTCATTCCATAGATGTATTTTTGTTCATATATATCTAATTACATATTTGTATTTTCTTTTATATTTACTATATGTTCATGTAAAATTCACAAAAACGAAATGTACTGTATCAGTTGATAGCAACGGTCCACTATACTTTTGTTACAACAATATTTTTATTTTTATTTATTTTTATCTCTCAATCCCTTCTTATTTGGCTTTTGGAAGCACTTTTAGAACATATTGAGCATTGGCGGTAACTAATATCTAAGTCAATAAAATATTTTTCAAAACAACCCTTTGGAGTGATTTTTTTAAAGGATATGGATGATAAAAATAAAAAAAAAGTTCCATATCTCACACTTGGGGCAGTTTACTGTCATCAAAATAAGAGAAATTCTCTTCTTTTCAAATGGCTTGTCATATGAGACATGCAATGGCAATGTAGAGAGAGAGAGATGAAGGGAAATGACACTAGAGAAAGGGAGAGGAAAGAGGAAGTTGGAATTATGAAACAAAATAAACAGTTTTTGCAGAGGTCAAACACCGACCCAGAAGTGGATAAAGAAATGTTGAAGAACAAAAGAAAGAGTAAGAGAATGGATGGCAGGAGATAGTGAATGATGACTGTGGCAAGGGTCTAGTCCAGGTGTCAGAGAGAGAGAAGAGTCAGGATCAGCTGGATAGAGAGAAGGATTCCCATTGAAGATTGTATGGAATGGCCTCTCCCACACTCCGATGTGTTCTCCTAGAAGAGAGAAACAAAGAGAAGACGCAGACTGAGAGGACTAGAGAACAACTACCTACAGTGAGGGAAAAAAGTATTTGATCCCAAGCTGATTTTGTACGTTTGCCCACTGACAAAGAAATGATCAGTCTATAATTTTAATGGTAGGTTTATTTGAGCAGTGAGAGACAGAATAACAACAAAATAATCCAGAGAAACGCATGTCAAAAATGTTATAAATTGATTTGCTTTTTAATGAGGGAAATAAGTTTTTGACCCCCTCTCAATCAGAAAGATTTCTGGCTCCCAGGTGTCTTTTATACAGGTAACGAGCAGAGATTAGGAGCATACTCTTAAAGGGAGTGCTCCTAATCTCAGTTTGTTACCTTTATAAAAGACACCTGTCCACAGAAGTAATCAATCAATCAGATTCCAAACTCTCCACCATGGCCAAGACCAAAGAGCTCTCCAAGGATGTCAGGGACAAGATTGTAGACCTACACAAGGCTGGAATGGGCTACAAGACCATCGCCAAGCAGCTTGGTGAGAAGGTGACAACAGTTGGTGCGATTATTCGCAAATGGAAGAAACACAAAAGAACTGTCAATCTCCCTCGGCCTGGGGCTCCATGCAAGATCTCACCTCGTGGAGTTGCAATGATCATGAGAACGGTGAGGAATCAGCCCAGAACTACATGGGAGGATCTTGTCAATGATCTCAATGCAGCTGGGACCATAGTCACCAAGAAAACAATTGGTAACACACTACGCCGTGAAGGACTGAAATCCTGCAGCGCCCGCAAGGTCCCCCTGCTCAAGAAAGCACATATACAGGCCCGTCTGAAGTTTGCCAATGAACATCTGAATGATTCAGAGGAGAACTGGGTGAAAGTGTTGTGGTCAGATGAGACCAAAATCGAGGTCTTTGGCATCAACTCAACTCGCCGTGTTTGGAGGAGGAGGAATGCTGCCTATGACCCCAAGAACACCATCCCCACCGTCAAACATGGAGGTGGAAACATTATGCTTTGGGGGTGTTTTTCTGCTAAGGGGACAGGACAACTTCACCGCATCAAAGGGACGATGGACGGGGCCATGTACCGTCAAATCTTGGGTGAGAACCTCCTTCCCTCAGCCAGGGCATTGCAAATGGGTCGTGGATGGGTATTCCAGCATGACAATGACCCCAAACACACGGCCAAGGCAACAAAGGAGTGGCTCAAGAAGAAGCACATTAAGGTTCTGGAGTGGCCTAGCCAGTCTCCAGACCTTAATCCCATAGAAAATCTGTGGAGGGAGCTGAAGGTTAGAGTTGCCAAACGTCAGCCTCGAAACCTGCCAAGAGGAGTGGGACAAAATCCCTCCTGAGATGTGTGCAAACCTGGTGGCCAACTACATGAAACGTCTGACCTCTGTGATTGCCAACAAGGGTTTTGCCACCAAGTATTAAGTCATGTTTTGCAGAGGGGTCAAATACTTATTTCCCTCATTAAAATGCAAATCAATTTATATCATTTTTGACATCTGGATTTTTTTGTTGTTATTCTGTCTCTCACTGTTCAAATAAACCTACCATTAAAATTATAGACTGATCATGTCTTTGTCAGTGGGCAAACGTACAAAATCAGCAGGGGATCAAATACTTTTTTCCCTCACTGTATATACTATATATGCAAATAATAACAATAGGAAGTGATGCACAAGAGACCATGGTTGTGTCCCAAATGGCACCCTATTACCTTTTATAGGGTACTACTGTTGACCAGGGCCCATAGGACTCTGGTCAAAAGTAGTGCACTACTGTATATAAGGAAAAGGGTGCCATGTAGGACACACCCCATGTCTGTGGTACTAGAGAACTCCTTACCCAGATGTTGTAGTCCCAGCATTCGGTCGGGCCTCTCCGGTAGCGTGCAGAGTTCAACACCTCACAGGGATCCTCCTCCTGGACTGTTGGCCTGGGTTAAGGTCAGAGGGTCAACAAGGAAATGCAGTGACACTTTGGGCCTATATAGAGTCTTCTATATGGATACGATAACACCCATAACACCCAGTGATTCACTTATTTACAAAATGTAGGCTACAGCTAGCTGTATTAGCTAATAAGTCAACGCATTAGGTTTTTGTAACATGCAGGAGATCATGCCCCCGTTTGTGGACAGCCTTTGTGAAGATTAGTAGACGTTGCAGTCCTGGTGAGGTTGTAGTGGACCCCCTGCCAGTCTTATGTCCCTAAAGGCTTGCCGTAGCCTAGGTGACCAAATGAAGGATACACTCCGTTTTGACCTGGGTCAGTCTCTCGATCTCACAGGAGCTACAGGGAAGTGTCTCAGCCACCACAAACAACAGGTTGGTGTTCTCTATCCGTTTAGCATGGAATAACCTACAACAGAGGAAAAGAGGTCACATATTTGTACACACATACACGCGCACGCACAAACACATGCATGTGCACACACACACACACCTGGAGCAGTTCCCGCAGTCCTGCAGCACATTGTATGAGTTGGTGGTGTTGGTGAAGTAGAACTGGCTTTGGATGGTCACACAGCTGCTCTCCCTCTGGTCAAACCCATCTGCCAGAACATCACCTGCAACAAAGGAGGAATGAAACACCCAGAAATGTTTTTTGTTAGGGTATCTTGACACTTTATTTGACAGTTATGAAATAAGAGGGCGATACAGGCACGTGGGAGAAACAGAGGGAAAGGTGGACGCGGGGATTGAACCTCAAGTCTACAGTGGGGATTCAGCTTCATACATGTGACATGTACTGAGAGTGTTCATGTTTTATGTAAAAACATTTCCAGCAAGACAGCCCTGGCAATGGGCTGTCCCGTGTACACCAACTACTTTCCCATTGCCTATGGAAACATATTCCCCTAACATATCAGCTTGGAGAAAGGCACACATGCAGCACAAGAATAAGAAATGTGCACCAACCTGTATAGAGCCAACTGTTGTAGGCCAGTCCATAGAGCAGCTGCTGGACTACAGACCTGATATAGATGAAACAAACAGTGAGAGGGATGCTGAGTCATAGAGTAATATCACAGTAATAGACAGGACATCTCTCTGACCTAAACCTGACGTCATACCTCATTAACCCATAAGAGTCTAAACCCTGTCTAAACCGGGGAGGGGGGGTTCTACTACCAAGGATCATTTTGCTATTTAATTTAGAATTTTAAGACCCCTTGAAGTATCCCAAAAATATATAAATAAAGTATTTGATGAGTTTTTCTGGGGGGCCTTACTACTATTAGCCCATACACACACATTGAATAACAGATCCCCCCCAAAGGAATCTAAAGGAAGTTTGTTCTGAAGTGTCTGTCCTATATCTGAGAGATATAAGAAAGATCAGGAACTTTTTTGAAAATGTTTACATGTATGTACAGTGGCTTGCGAAAGTATTCACCCCCCTTGGCATTTTTCCTATTTTCTTGCCTTACAACCTGGAATTAAAATTGATTTTTGGGGGGTTTGTATCATTTCATTTACACAACATGCCTACCATTTGTGAAACAAACAAGAAATAAGACAAAAAAACTGAACTTGAGCATGCATAACTATTCACCCCCCCCAGAGTCAATACTTTGTAGAGCCACCTTTTGCAGCAATTACAGCTGCAAGTCTCTTGGGGTATGTCTCTATAAGCTTGGCACATCTAGCCACTGGGATTTTTGCCCATTCTTCAAGGCAAAACTGCTCCAGCTCCTTCAAGTTGGATGGGTCAAGCTGGTGTACAGCAATCTTTAAGTCATACCACAGATTCTCAATTTGATTGAGTTCTGGGCTTTGACTAGGCCATTCCAAGACATTTAAATGTTTCCCCTTAAACCACTCGAGTGTTGCTTTAGCAGTATGCTTAGGGTCATTGTCCTGCTGGAAGGTGAACCTCTGTCCCAGTCTCAAATCTCTGGAAGACTGAAACAGGTTTACCTCAAGAATTTCCCTGTATTTAGCACCATCCATCATTCCTTCAATTCTGACCAGTTTCCCAGTCCCTGCCGATGAAAAACATCCCCATAGCATGATGCTGCCACCACCATGCTTATTTGTGGGGATGGTGTTCTCGGGGTGATGAGAGGTGTTCGGTTTGCGCCAGACATAGCATTTTCCTTGATGGCCAAAAAGCTCAATTTTAGTCTCATCTGACCAGAGTACCTTCTTCCATATGTTTGGGGAGTCTCCCACATGCCTTTTGGCGAACACCAAACGTGTTTGCTTATTTTTTTCTTTAAGCAATGGCTTTTTTAATCTGGCCACTCTTCCGTAAAGCCCAGCTCTGTGGAGTGTACGGATTAAAGTGGTCCTATAGACAGATACTCCAATCTCCGCTGTGAAGCTTTGCAGCTCCTTCAGGGTTATCTTTGGTCTCTTTGTTGCCTCTCTGATTAATGCCCTCCTTGCCTGGTCCGTGAGTTTTGGTGGGCGGCCCTCTTTTGGCAGGTTTGTTGTGGTGCCATATTCTTTCCATTTTTAACAATGGATTTAATGGTGCTCCGTGGGATGTTCAAAGTTTCTGATATTTTTTTATAACCCAACCCTGATCTGTACTTCTCCACAACTTTGTCCCTGACCTGTTTGGAGAGCTCCTTGGTCTTCATGGTGCCGCTTGCTTGGTGGTGCCCCTTGCTAGTGGTGTTGCAGACTCTGGGGCCTTTCAGAACAGGTGTATATATACTGAGATCATGTGACAGATCATGTGACACTTAGAGTGCACACAGGTGGACTTTATTTAACTAATTATGTGACTTCTGGAGGTAATTGGTTACACCAGATCTTATTTAGGGGCTTTATAGCAAAGGGGGTGAATACATATGCATGCACCACTTTTCCGTTATTTATTTTGTAGAATAAGTTATTTTATTCATTTCACTTCACCAATTTGGACTATTTTGTGTATATCCATTACATGAAATCCAAATAAAAATCAATTTAAGTTACAGGTTGTAATGCAACAAAATAGGAAAAATGCCAAGGGGGATGAATACTTTTGCAAGGCACTGTAACCTTTATTTTTGGAACTAAACAGACTGCATGTGACTCGTTTTTGGCACACAGCTTGTGGCTTCGGGACAAGTCTCTGAATGTCCTTGAGTGGCACAGCCAGAGCTCGGACTTGAACACGAATGAACATCTCTGGAGAGACCTGAAAATAGCTGTGCAGCAACGCTCCCCATCCAACCTGACAGCGCTTGAGAGGATCTGCAGAGAAGAATGGGAGAAACTCCCCAAATACAGGTGTGCGAGCTTGTAGCGTCATACCCAAGAAGACTCAAGGCTGTAATCGCTGCCAACGGTGCTTCAACAAAGTACTGAGTAAAGGGTCTGAATACTTATGTAACTGTATAATTTCAGTTTTTGCTTTGTCATTATGGGGTATTGTGTGTAGATTGATGAGGGAAAAAAACAATTTAATCAACGTTAAAAACGTTTAGAAAAGTGGAAAAAGTCAAGGGGTCTGAATACTTTCCGAAGGCACTGTATACAAGAATTATGGAGGCCACTGTGTTCTTGGGGACCTTCAATGCTGCAGAAATGTTTTGGTACCCTTCCTCAGATCTGTGCCATCGACACAATCCTTTCTCGGAGCTCTAAGGACAATTCCTTCGACCTCATGGATTGGTTTTTGCTCTGACATGCACTGTCAACTGTGGGACCTCATATAGACAGGTGTCTATATTTAATCAATTTTAGAATAAGACAGAATGTGGAAAAAGTCTGAATACTTTCCGAAGGCACTGTATACTTCCATTCATTTTTTCAACTGGTACCGGGGGACCTTTAGACAAGTCTTGTGAGGTCTATGGGCATCCTAGAGCAAAACAACCGACATGTACGCGTTTGCGAGTCTCACCTTTCTACAGAGGGGTCATATTAGTGTGTAGCCCAAACTGTTCGGACGCTACAGACAGAAGTTGGCAGATCGGCTGTACTGACTTTAGACGAGTCCCAAGACACTTGTGGGAGTAGGTGAGCAAAACAAAGAACACCATCATGAGAGTCTTTCCATAGAGGGGTCTTAATAGTTTGTAGACTACGGATGATTTTGTGAGAAGACCGATTTTCAGGATGTCTCATGGTCTGAAAAACACAGCTCTAGCTCTGTCACCTTTCACCGCAGATGCGGAAGTGCGACATAGGCGGATGTGATGGATTGAGACGCATCCAATGCAAAGAAAACAACAACATATCTCTAGCTTAAACTGACAGATTTTTATGGAGATTTTTTCATTATACAAATTAGATTTCCGCAGGGGCGCGGACATCGACCTTAGGGGGTTAACAGCAGAGACTAGACATGCTTAAAGGGGCAATCTGCAGTTCAAACAACAACAATGTTTTGGTAAACAGCTGAGGGATGGAGTTGGAGAAATGTAACTACTCTCAAATTCATAGACGGAGCTATGGATGCAAGGACTGACCATCCATGAGATCAAAATTATATTCATATTTTGAAGTTATACAGTATTTGTTTATTAATTATATTGTAAAACAAGATTATATTTTGGGTTGTGATGGAGTAAGACAGTTTAACTAGTTATATTCTCCAAGAATCTATGGCTGTATCATTAAGTCCTAAAATGTATGCTCTGGATAAGAGCGTCTGCTAAATGATGTAAATGTATGTACTAATCCCAGATCACCTCTTTAAATGGTTAAGTTTCATACATCTTGTTCTTTAGGTCATGTGATCTGTGCTAAAATAGAGATGGCCTCACCATGCTGCCGCTGAGGTCCACCAGGCCAGACTGAGCATGTCTGCGATGGAGGGCTAGACACAACACATTGGGACCAAGGGGAGGAGAAGAAGAGAGAACACAAGGAGAAGCCATTACTCATTGAAAGATATAGAATAAGTCCCAAATGCCATTCCCTATAGTGCACTACTTTTGACCAGAGCCTTATGAAGTTGAAGTTGATAGCCCCTTCCAGAAACAACCTTTAGCACCCCTACACTCTTAGAAAAAAAGGTGCTATCTAGAACCTTAAAGGGTTCTTCGGCTGTCCCCATAGGATAACCCTTTGAAGAACCCTTGTTGGTTCCAGGTAGAACCCTTTTGGTTCCAAGTAGAAACGTTTTGGGTTCCATGTAGAACCCTTTCCATAGAGGTATCTAAATGGAACCCAAAACGGTTCTACCTGGAACCAAAAAGTAGTTTTACCTGGAACCAAAAATAGTTATTCTATGGGGACAGCCGAAGAACCCTTTTGGAACCCTTTTTTCTAAGAGTGTACCACTAAGGGACTTGTGTAGATCTGAGGGTATAAACAATGTTGTGGTAGCTGCACCTTTGATAGGCTAGGTGGAATAGTTAGTAGTTTTTTCAGGGCCTGTATCCATCCGTAAAGCTTCTCAGAGTAGGAGTGCCGATCTAGGATCAGAACCCCCTGTAAAATGCAAAACTGATGCTAGATCAGCACCCCTATTCTGAAACACTTCATGAATACGGGCCCTGGAGATGAAATAGGGTAGGTAAGGTAAGGCTGCCCTGGTCCTGGAACTCTCACCACAAAGATGCCCCTGGGTGCTGCTCCTGTGTGACTGCTGCTGACTGGCTCACATGCTGACTGGTACTGGAAGGACTGTCGGCGGGCGTAGATGGAGTTGTTATACAGCGCGTGCATCAGATAGGGGTCCACATCACCAAAGAAAAGGCCCACCTGGAACAGCAAGATACTGGAATAACTGACAGGCACGTAGACAAGATCTTTGTCAGACCTACATCTCCATATCTTTAATACACAGATCTATCATACAATATATTTGAGAACAATCAGTCTGTATTATTTGCACACTGGGCTATAGCAAAAAAACAAGGGTAAGGCTTTGTGACTGGTCTGCACCTATTAAAACTAATGGAGTCAAATAATACAGACTGAATGTTATAATTTTAACATACAGGTACCAAAGAATCAATCAATATCTTCGATAATCAACTTTATTATGCTATTTTACCATTTAGAGATTGTGTAAGATGACCTGGTTGGTACCTACTGACGTTGGCCTTCCATACCTTTTTCCAGTGATCCCTCTGGTTGGACATCACCAGGAAGCCACCATCGTCAATCAGATAGCAGAGTAAGTCCTAGAGACAGGGAATTGTATTGTATTATTATATCACTACTGATAGGCACATACAGACTCTCACACTCTCTTTCTCTCCTATTCTTTCTGTCACACAGACCAGCACTGGACACACACACAAACAAATCACGCCATTACTCCCCAGACACTTGGTTGACATGAACTAGTCAAACTGCTCCAGGGGGTCTGCTCTGAGGCTGACCCTGTGCTGCTCCCAGCCTGTTGTGTGTGTGTATGTGTGCGTGGGTTGTGTCTGGTTGGGTATTGTGACAGCAGTTTGTACAATGTAGGGCTATGTGAAAGGAGAGGAATTCTTACGTCAGTGTTGACTTCGCAGTCCATCTCACAACTTCTGGATGGCCCACACTGTACAAAGGAAGTCAGAGAGTCATCATAACATAATAACGTTAGACTGGATCTGTTCAAGTCACTTCACAGCAGTCACACAGAGGACTGATCATTTTTACCCAGCCTTTCATACAGTACCTTTTGCGAGCCCTGACGACTGTCAGACACGTTGCTGGCCAAGATCTTGAACTTGTCTACCCAGGCTTCCAGGTCCAGCTTCACCCCCACCACTGGTCAGCAGGAGAGTTAAAACAAGACCATGAGACCAGACCATGAAAGATAGAGGTACAGTTTAACAGAAGACTGAGAGATAGCCCATTAAAGGAGAAGTTTACCCAAAATCCAGAAACATTGTAGTATTGTACTGAAACAGCTGCAAAAACGGGTCACGTGACTCGTGACGTTGCTGGATGCAGGCCTCGCTCTGCTCCGTTGCCAGTGAATTCATGATTTAGAAATCCGCAAAGTGTGGACAAATTCATTGTTTTATTGAAAGCGCACAGCCAAATTAGTTATTTTGTCAAAAGTACTATTGGTTTTGAGTCAGGAAATGTGTACTTTTCCACCTAAAACATGTGTGATGATTTAACCTCTTAAGGATCGGACCCTTTTTTTCAATTTTCGCCTAAAATGACATACCCAAATCTAACTGCCTGTAGATCAGGACCTGAAGCAAGGATTTGCATATTCTTGATACTATTTGAAAGGAAAAACTTTGAAGTTTGGGGAAATGTGAAATTAATGTAGGAGAATATAACACATTAGATCTGGTAAAAGATAATACAAACAAAAAAACATGTGTTTTCTATTTTTTGGTTTTGTTCCATCATCTTTGAAATGCAAGAGAAAGGCCACAATATAATATTGCAGTTTAGGCACAATTTAGTATGCCCAAATGTGCCGAATTGGTCAATTGATACATTTTCAAGTACATAACTATCGAGAACATACAAAAATGATATGGTAATACAAAATGTACGTTTACACACTCCCAGGAATGTCATACATGATGGATCATTAGCTTATACACTAACTTTCATACATCTAGATGGCCGGGCGGGGTGGGTGTGGAGCCAGAGACAGCAGGGGTTCAAACTGTAGAACCCAGTTCCTACATTTGAATATGAAAATGGATTTGATCAAACAAAAACTATGCTACATTTTATCTCTGGGACCGTTAGGATGAGAAATCAGAGCAAGATTACTGAATGTAAGTACATTATTTACCTTCAGAGGTGAATGTATCAAAACCAGTTGCCGTGATACATTTTTTGTTGTTGTGCACTCTCCTCAAACAATAGCATGGTATTTTCTCAAATTGTCTATGTCCTGGAAAGTTTGCTGTTACTTACAACAGTCATGCTAATCACATTAGCGCACGTTAGCTCAACCGTCCCATATACAGAACACCGATCCCGTAGAGGTTAATATCATTATTTTATGTAGCCAACTGCCACAGCAGCAGAGATGGGTAACAACTGTGCATGTGCGCTCTTGGGGGAATCCATGCTATGTAGAAACGTCCTGATATGCCCTAATTCACAGATGAAAAAAAAACATGTCTGTGAAGTGAAGACAGCGTTACACACAGGGTTGGGGATTACAAGTAATCTGTTACATGTAATGGATTACAAAAAAAACGCTAACTGTAATCCGTTACATTACCAGCAAAAATATTGTAATCCGATTACAGATACTTTTGAAAAACTAGATGATTACTTCGAGGATTACTTAGAAATTCAGAAAGGATGTTTGCGAGAAAAAAATAATATTTGACTGCCCACATAAACTCTGGTGTCCTGGATGATTTCTTCCGTATTCCAAATACGAATTGGAGACGCACCGCTGTTCCAGCTGGGCCAAATGGACAGTTATCTAACGAGTAAGTAGCTACTTTACTTTATTGAAACCTCTATGAGCGGGACCGTTAGTGGGTTTATGTTTTCACATTAGCCCAAAACACTATATGGCCTATGTTTATTTATCACAATCCTATTCTGCAATGTAAAGTGACACAATGTCTATTGTCTCAACTGTCATAAATACATGGAGCACATATGCTAACCTGTAGGGCACTTTTATGTCTACATGATATGGTGCCATGGTAATAACACAATAAAAACACATTGAACGTCAAGAATCAGGCTTGCTTTGTCGCTTTCTCATCTTAAACATGCCTTTGTATTCTGGCACTGCGCCAGATCCAGTCCATGGAAATACAGTAGCAACAGCTGCATCTTTTAGTTTCCTTCAGGTTTCTGTCCCCATCATTTCAGACTGCACATCTCGTTCATATGCATCGTCGCTGAAGTGCTTGCTACACACATGCAGCGATGCAAGGTTGGCTGCAGGAGTATTTACATCATATTAAATGTAAAAAACACAATTTCAAATTTTGCTACATAAGACCGAATCGAGGCGGTGAGTCACATTTACTATTTGGAATTGCAACTAAACATCTTCAGCATCTCTCCGTATCTTCTACCGGAAAACAGTGACATTTGGTGTCAGTGACATTTGGTGTCTTCTTCCCTTGATTTCCTGTCTAAAGTGCAACCAGGGACCGAACACCAGCTTGCTCTAACTGCCATCTCTTTTCCATTTTGGTAACTAACTTTACCTGCGATATGCCTAACTTTATCAATTTTCGCACTAGCTCCTTCTCCCACCCCAAAAAATTTAATCTGTGACATCAACCTCCATATAAGGGCATATCGTGACGTTCCTTCGTAGCAGGGTCTTCCCACGAGGGCACACATGCGCAGTTGTTACTAATCTCCGCTGCTGTGGCAGTCGGCTTAATACAATAATGGCAAATGTTTTAGGTGGAAAAGTACACATCTCCTGACTTATAACCGATAGTACTTATGCCAAAAATAGCTCATTCGGCCGTACGCTCAATAAAACAAAGAATTTGTCCACACTGGCAACGGAGCAGAGCGTGGCCTGCATCCAGCAACGTCACGAGTAACATGACCCATTTTTTCAGCAGTTTCAGTACAGCACTACAGGGAGAGAGAGGTGGAGAGGGCAACATCCACTGAACTAGTTTCAATTTATGGAATCACTTGGGAGTTTCTGGATTTTGGGTAAACTTCTCCTTTAAGAAGAGGGAGAAGGACAAAGCAACCAGGATCTGAGGCCATTAGAATTGCAATATTGCAGTAACTTCCATAAATTCCCAGGTTTTCCAGAAATCCTGGTTGGAGGAGTCCAGATATCCTGGGAATTTTGGGAAAATTACCGGAATTTTGCAACGATACGGGGCCATTGACATTAAAAGATAACACCTCCTCCAATTACTGTATTCACAACCAAAACAGCTTTACCTGCCGGTTTCAGGTTCTTGCCTCCCAGGTTGACTTCCACGGCAGTGCTGACCAGGATTCCGATGGTGCCGTTCTCCGAGGTCACCGGATCATCCATGGCTATGACAAAGGTTAACAGGGTCAAAGTTCATGCAAACAGAAAGCAGTGATTGATCTGTGTTATCGTGATAGGTTATAAACAAGATGAATGAATCACTTATTTTCACGTTATATGAGTGAAATGTCTTTAAATGCCTACAACCTGCTTGCTATCTAAAAACCTGACTTTTATCTCCAAGGTCATATACACTACATTGCCAAAAGTATGTGGACACCTGCTCGTCAAACATCTCATTCCAAAATCATGGGCATTAATATGGAGTTGGTCCCCCCTTTGATGCATTAATATGGAGTTGGTCCCCCCTTTACTGCTATAACAGCCTCCACCTTCCTGGGAAGGCTTTCCATTCAGTATGAAAATGTATGCACTCACTAACTGTAAGTCGCTCTGGATAAGAGCGTCTGCTAAATGACTAAAATGTAAAATGTAATGTTGGAACATTGCTGCAGGGACTTGCTTCCATTCAGCCACAAAAGCATTAGTGAGGTCGGAAACTGATGTTGGCTGATTAGGCCTGGCTCGCAGTCGGCGTTCCAAAGGTGTTCGATGGGGTTGAGGTCAGGGCTCTGTGCTGTCCAGTCAAGTTCTTCCATACTGATCTCGACAAACCATTTCTGTATGGACCTCAGTTTGTGCACGGGGGCATTGTCATGCTGAAATAGGAAAGGGCCTTCCCCCAAACTGTTGGCACAAAGTTGAAAGCACAGAATCATCTAGAATGCCATTGTATGCTGTAGCGTTAATATTTCCCTTCAATGGAACTAAGGGGCCAAACCATGAAAAACAGTCCCAGACCATTATTCCTCCTCCACCAAACTTTCCAATTGGCACTATGCATTGGGGCAGATAGCATTCTCCTAGCATCTGCCAAACCCAGATTTGTCCGTCGGACTGCCAGATGGTGAAGCGTGATTCATCACTCCAGAGAACGCATTTCCACTGCTCCAGAGTACCGTTTTGTGAGCTTGTGTTGGCCTACCACTTCGCGGCTGAGCCGTTGTTGCTCCTAGACGTTTCCACTCCACAATAACAGCACTTACAGTTGACCGGGGCAGCTCTAGCAGGGCAGAAATTTCACGAACTCACTTGTTGGAAAGGTGGCATCCTATGACGGGTGCCACGTTGAAAGTCACTGAGCTCTTCAGTACGGGCCATTCTACTGCCATTGTTTGTCTATGGAGATTGCATGGGTGTGTGCTCGAATGTATAAACCTGTCAGCAACGGGTGTGGCTGAAATAGCCAAATTCACTAATTTGAAGGGGTGTCCACATACGTTTGACCATGTAGCGTATATCAGTGTGTGTTACTCACAGGCTCTGGGTGGAGCTCTGAACATATAGCCCTTGTTGTCCAGGCTGCGCCGGTAGTAGTTAGAGTTGAAGGGCTCAGGGTCCTCATCCCACGACTCAGCAGCCCTGGGAAGCCCAGGACAACTCACATTCAAGCAGTATTGCTTGAGTAATGTGTAAGTATTCAAGCATACTCACATTCAACTACCATAATGCTCACAGACAGGAAAGGCATGCAATTATTAACAAACAAAGTATATTTTATTAGCCAGAGTGATATCTGTAACTCCTCAAACACACACTCACGAGTTGGGGAAGACCCGGGTGACACCTCCGTCTGTGGCTGCAAATAATGCCAGGAAACCATACCTAAAGCAAAAAGTAATTTAATTCACTCAGACGTTACACATATTGTTATTATTCACATTAATTGTTTTTAATATCAATGTTATAGGGCAATTATTTGTTGAGTTCACTCACGTTTGGATATCCTTGTTCTTCCACACTCTAGATGCTAGCTGCCAGATGATTCCAGAATCCAAGATCAGGTTGTGAATGAGGCTTTGATCACCTGTGAACACACACACACACACAGTTAATGTAACCCGTCAGTCTTTATAAAATATTGTAGGTGAAAAATGTGCATTGCACACTTCCCAAATATAATGTTTTGTTGGCCTCAAGTGTCCTTCCATGTCATCTACAGCAGTTCAAAGCTTGTGTAGTATGGTGAAGGGCATGACCCTAACCACCCTACAAACTCATTGACATAAAGAAGAGAAACTCACAGTCTTCAGATTCTGGTGTGATCTCCACCATGAGAGACAGGAAGTTCTCCAGGAACTGTGTGTTGTTGTCAGAGATGTGCAGACGCTTGCAGTATTCCCTAAAAGAAGAACGGTTAGACAGAGATGAGATTACACACACGCACAAAACTCTTGCACAAAACTCTTGCACACACACACACACACACACACACACACACACACACACACACACACACATCTCTGTACCTGGGAGCCAGGAACACGTGTCCCCCTGCTTCAAAGGAGCTGGGCAGCAAAGATTGCAGATCTGCAACGGAGAGAGAGAGACTGTCATCAACCGCCCATGTCATCGGGCTCAGCGTCAGCAAGCCGCTCATAACGCCCTGGACCAGAGCTAAAGGGAGACAGCGGCTCTCTGGGTGGGCAGTAGTACTCACACTGGAGCTGCAGCATCACATCACTCAGGTCTGCCTGGATGTAGTATTCACTGTAGGGTGGCAGTACCAGGCCCAGACTACAAGTGGCAGCATCCCCAAAAGAAAACAGAGGAAATGAATCAAAGTCTGAGGCACAAGAGAAGACACTACTACCATTAACCTACTAGGTATAGAGTCCGTCCACCCACACACTCAAACCTGTCATCTTCAGCAGTTCATATCCTATTACAATGGTTACCATTACTAATCCTCTACCCTTCAACCCACACCTCTATCTCCTGCCTCCTCACCTGTAGTCTGTACCATTGATGGGTGTCCAGGTGTAACTCCGAACTCCCTCATCTATGTATCGCTGCAATGAAGGGGGAAAAGTTACATATTAAAATAGGTTTGCTCTCAGTCCATGACCATGGCTGTTGGGTTCCTAGGGTTTACAGTCATTACTGTGAATTAAGTATGTGAAGTAAAGTACAGTACCAGTCAAAAGTTTAGAACACCTACTCATTCCAGGGTTTTTCATTATTTTTACTATTTTATACATTGTAGAATAATAGTGAAGACATCAAAACTATGAAATAACACATATGGAATCATGTAGTAACCAGAAAAGTGTTAAACAAATCAAAATATATGTTATATTTGAGATTCTTCTAAGTATCCACCCTTTGCCTTGATGACAGCTTTGCACACTCTTGGCATTCTCTCAACCAGCTTCATGAGGTAGTCACTTGGAATGCATTTCAATTAAGAGGTGTGCCTTGTTAAAAGTTAATTTGTGGAATTTCTTTCCTTCTTAACGCGTTTGAGCCAATCAGTTGTGTTGTGACAAGGTAGGAGTGGTATACAGAGGATAGCCCTATTTGGTAAAAGGCCAAGTCCATATTATGGCAAGAACAGCTCAAACAAGTAAAGAGAAACGACAGTCCATCATTACTTTAAGACATGAAGGTCAGTCAATCCGGAACATTTCAAGAACTTTGAAAGTTTCTTCAAGTGCAGTCGCAAAAACCATCAAGCGCTATGATGAAACTGGCTCTCATGAGGACCACCACAGGAAAGGAAGATCCAGAGTTACCTCTGCTGCAGAGGATAAGTTCATTAGAGTTACCAGCCTCAGAAATCGACAATTAACTGCACCTCATTGCAGCCCAAATAAATGCTTCACAGAGTTCAAGTCACAGACACATCTCAACATCAACTGTTCAGAGGAGACTGCGTGAATCAGGCCTTCATTACATTTACATTTACATTTTAGTCATTTAGCAGACGCTCTTATCCAGAGCGACTTACAGTTAGTGAATTCATGGTCAAATTGCTGTAAAGAAACCACTACTAAAGGACACCAATAAGAAGAAGGGACTTGCTTGGGCCAAGAAACACGAGCAATGGACATTAGACCGGTGGAAATCTGTCCTTTGGTCTGATGAGTCCAAATTTGAGATCTTTGGTTCCAAACGCCGTGTCTGTGTGAGACGCAGAGTAGGTGAACGGATGATCTCCGCATGTGTGGTTCCCACCGTGAAGCATGGTGGAGGTGTGGGGGTGCTTTGCTGGTGACACTGTCAGTGTTTATTTAGAATTCAAGGCACACTTAACCAGCATGGCTACCACAGCATTCTGCAGCGATACGCCATCCCATCTGGTTTGTGCTTAGTGGGACTGTCATTTGTTTTTCAACAGGACAATGACCCAAAACACACCTCCAGGCTGTGTAAGGGATATTTGACCAAGGAGTGATGGAGTGCTGCATCAGATGACCTGGCCTCCACAATCACCCGACCTCAACCCAATTGAGACGTTTGGGATGAGTTGGACCGCTGAGTGAAGGAAAAGCAGCCAACAAGTGCTCAGCATGTGTGGGAACTCCTTCAAGACTGTTGGAAAAGCATTGCAGGTGAAGCTGGTTGAGAGAATGCCGAGAGTGTGCAAAGCTGTCATCAAGGCAAAGGGTGGATACTTTGAAGAATCTAAAATGTAACATATATTTTGATTTGTTTAACACTTTTTTGATTACTACATGATTCCATATGTGTTATTTCATAGTTTTGATGTCTTCACTATTATTCTACGATGTAGAAAATAGTAAAAATAAAGAAAAACCCTTGAATGAGTAGGTGTGTCCAAACTTTTGACTGGTACTGTATACCTGATATAGTGTCTAGGTGTAAAGTAAGGAACAATACACACGCACATACACACACACACACACGCACACTTGCCTCATCAATTGATTTAACAAGCGTCTTAATCTGCATATCACCCGGTCTGCCATCAATCATCTGTTTGCGGATCTGGAATGTAGAGATAGTATGTTACCTATGCGGTTGCATCTCCATGGTCTAGCAGCACAACATTTTAGGTAATGTTCCAAATGGCACCCTATTCCCTATATGGTGCAACACAATAGGGCTCTGGTCAAAAGTAGTGCAATATATAGGGAATAGGGTGCCATTTGGGATACACACTTTGATTGTACTACATTCATGTACTTATCGAATTATTGGTGTATTTAGTGCACAGTATGTCAATATTCCCCCCTTTCACCATATAATTGAGTGGATAAGTACACGTATTGTAACTGGATGAGTAACTCTTACTACTTCTGTATATAGAATAGGTTAGCTAAATCCTAACATTCTAACTTAGATATGCATTACACATTCTCACACAGATTTCCCATTGGCATGAATGCATGATTTATATGAAAGCTATGCACTGAGTATACCAAACATTAGGAACACCACCCTAATATTGAGTTGCAACCCCCCAACCCTTTTGCCTTCAGAACACCCTCAATTCGTTGGGCATGGACTCTACAATGTGTCGAAAGCGTTCGAAAGAGATGCTGGTCTATGTTGACGCCAATGCCTCCCACAGTTGTGTCAAGTTGGCTGGATGTCCTTTGGGTGGTGGACCATTCTTGATACACACGGGAAACTGTTGAGTGTGAAAAACCCAGCAGCGTCTCAAGGCTTAAAAATCCTTCTTTAACCTGTCTCCTCCCCTTCATCTACACTGATTGAAGTGGATTTAACAAGTGACACCAATAAGGGATCATAGCTTTCACCTGGATTCACCTGGGCCCAGATTCACAAAACCTTCTTAAGAAGATATTTCTTCTTAACTGCCATTTTTCCCTTAACTATAGACTTATGAAGAAAGTTAAGCAAAGTTGCTATTCCTCAAAAAGGTTATTGGAAATGTTCTTGCACTATTTCTTGTTTCTCCTTAAGCAAAAAGTTTGATTCTAGAATATACATTTTTTGTATTTGTTCTTAATTCCAAGATAGCTGAACCCTTGTCTTAAACTCAGGGCAGTGAGAGAATAAGCTAATGAAAGCAATTGAACATGTTTATTCACTCACAAACTTCATCTGAAAGTTTCATTATTGATTCTTTTAAACCCAAGAACATTTTAGAACAGTAATCTCAGTAGGAAATATGCTAACATGATTGCCATTGCTAGCTAGATAGCTAACTAAATCGGTTGCCTAGCAACAAACATCTTAAGAAGATTGGTAAGAAGATATTTGAGAAGTTCTTAAGAAAATCATTTAATCTTAAGATATTGTTGAGGAATCGCACTTACGAACTATCTTATGAACTTTTTATTTTTTTTCTTAAGAAGCTTCTTATGTTTTTGCTTAAGAAGTGTTTTGTGAATCTGGGCCCAGGTGTTCTTAATGTTTTTTATAAACTGGGTGGTTCGAGCCCTGAATGCTGATTGGCTGACCGCCGTGGTATATCAAGTATACCACGGGTATGACAAAACATTTATTTTTACTGTTCTAATTACGTTGGTAACCAGTTTATAATAGCAATAAGGCACCTCAGGGGTTTGTGTTTATGGCCAATATACCACGGCTGGTATATCTGGTATACCACGGGTATGACAAAACATTTATTTTTACTGCTCTAATTACGTTGGTAACCAGTTTATAATAGCAATAAGGCACCTCGGGGGTTTGTGGTATATGGCCAATATACCACGGCTAAGGGCTGTATCCAGGCACACCGCATTGCCTCGTCCCTAAGAGCAGCCCTTAGCCGTGGTATATTTTCCATATACCACACCCCCTCGTGCCTTATTGCTTAAGTATACTCAGTGCATGCTATTATACTCACTTCCTGTTTGGAGCTATCCTCCACCTCAGCATCCAGGAAGTCAAGTGTTACAGGCTCTGGTAGGTCGAGCAGCTGTTGCGGAAAAGCACCAGTCACATTAGGGATATCACAGCATCCCCATGTTTTACAGTAACACATTCAGTTGAATAAATCTCAGTTGTATTCTATTTTCAGTTGAATACATGCACTGACAATCTTATCTTAGCTAATTGGAATGACATGCAATAAGCAGTACACACTAGGTTCTATATCTAACCTACATCCAACAACATTCACTTTGTATCAAATAAAAATGTACAATCTACAATCTATTTACAATACTCCCTATAAACTGCACAGTGATCTTTCAGTGGGGGAATTTGGTATACATCACTTTTGGGTGAAGGTTTGGATGCAGGAGAAGGTATCCATTTGGGTCGATGGCGTATATGTACCCATTGGCTCCAAGCTGCAAAGTTACGGAGCATAGAATAAATTATTACTTGTGTGCATGCAAGTGTGTGTGAAGTAAGATATGATGCGGTATACTGACGTTGTATCGTGGTGTCAGCTTTTTGATTTCGTCCAGATGCACGTCCACCCCCATGACACCTAATATGAGCTGATTCTGTGGAGAAAACAACCAGTAAACAAAACCTCAAGAAATTGTGATTTATTAAAGAAAGATTGCCATTGGTCAACGTGAACTGTTTTAAATGACTGCACCTGTGAGTTTCCATCCACGGTGAGATTAAAAACAGGCATGGTTCCAGTAAAAACCAGTCCCAGACCCTATAAAGAAACAAGACAAACAGAAGAACAAAACGTTAAGTGTTTTCCCTAATAGTCCTCTCCCACACTACCAACAGAACACATCATATAATCCAGGCCTAGGCTTAATTTGTGTCTGGGAAACTGCCCCAATGTGTCTACATTGTGCAATGGCACCTCACTATATGATTACAGGAGATTGTAATGCTTATGGAACTTAGAAATCAGATGTGGATATATTATTATCATCCACCTACAGAGCACTCAATGGTATGTCTCTGTCAGTGGACCGTGTGTCTATACTGTAAGGTCAACTGCTCCTTAGAACCAACTTCTCTGGTTTTAAACGGCCTATGTGGCATCGATATGAGTCAGAAACATTCATTATAGTGGCAAAATTGACTACAAAGTGTAAATAGGATAATTTTGGTTATAAAGTCAGTCTCGACCAAAATGGAGTTTGATAAGTGACTGTGTCATGACTTGAGGGTTTGGTTTGGATTACAATTATGTCAACAATTCATGCCTCCTTTTGCCTATTAACACATGGTGGAACCATATTTTTGGGGTAAAGACTGGGCGAGTTCGCTTTGCATGGCCCGGTGCCCTGGGTGGACGGAGACCTCTCCTTAGAAGGACCAATGGAATGGTCGAAAATGAGCAAACCCCGCCCACCCGGGGCACTCAAAACCAGTGGTGTAAAGTATTTAAGTAAAAATACTTTAAAGTACTACTTAAGCCGTTTTTGTACTTTACTTTACTATTTCTATTTTTGACAACTTTTACTTTTACTGCACTACATTCCAAAATAAACTAATGTACTTTTTACTCCATATATTTTCCCTGACACCCAAAAGTACTTATTACATTTCGAATGCTTAGCAGGACAGGAAAATGGTCCAATTCACGCACTTATCAAGAGAACATCCCTGGTCATCCCTACTGCCTCTGATCTGACGGACTCACTAAACAAAAATGCTTCATTTGTAAATGATGTCTGAGAGTTGGAGTGTGCCCCTGGCTATCCATATATGAAAAGAACAAGAAAATGGTGCAGTCTGGTTTGCTTAATATAAAGAATGTGAAATGATTTCTACTTTTACTTTTGATACTTAAGTATATTTTAGCAATTACATTTACTTTTGATACTTAAGTATATTTTAAACCAATTACTTTTATACTTTTACTCAAGTAGTATTTTGCTGGGTGACATTCACTTCTACTTGAGTCATTTTCTATCAAGGTATTTTTACTTTTACTCATGTATGACAATTGGGTACTTTTTCCACCACTGCGCAAAACGAACTCGCCAACTGGAACCTCTTTCCCAGACAAGACGTGTGGTTAGTATTTTCCCTTGCTTGGGAAATAGCCACTCTAGAGAAAATGGGCTTCCAGAAAGTTATTCAACAATCTTGGGCAGATGGCCAGGATATGGATTACATCTGACTAGTTTCTACTTGGGCTGTCAACCGTCAAACAGCTACATGTCATTATTTGATAGGCTATGCCACTATGATACTAGGCTATGATACTGTGATGTAACTAGCTAAATACATAGCCTCTCACTAATGTGTAATGTGAGAGGAAGATTTGCATAGCTAATGTTGCACCTGAAGAAAGGTTTTATCCCTACCAGCTAACATTAGCTAGCTAGCTCATAATTAGGCAAACCTGACAGCATGTTTGATGCATGTTGCCAGCTTGCATTCAATAATGTTTCAACTCGAACTGGCTAGCTACTTTCCTTGTTTGTTGTGATTGACTGGCAAAGACAAACCCATGAAACACCCACCTCAAACCACACCCCCAAGACAACTCTCGTTTGTTAATGAGATTGATGAAAAATGTGGCCAAAGCATGAAGTGCAGTCACCCTTTAAGTCCAATGTAGATGAATTAGCCTGAGTGCCAGTCTGTTTGTGCTATCATGCCAACTCCTTGTCACTCATTGTCATACCAAACAGTGACTGACTGAAATGAAGTTGGCATGACAGTACAAACAGACTGGCCTTCAGGCTATAGATTAGATATACAGCACCAGTCAAAAGTTTGGACACACCTACTCATTCAATGGTTTTTCTTTCTTTCTTTTTTACTATTTTCGACATTGTAGAATAATAGTGAAGACATCACAACTATGAAATAACACATATGGAATCATGTAGTAACCAAACAAGTGTTAAACAAATCAAAATATATTTTATATTTGAGATTCTTCAAATAGCCACCCTTTTCCTTGATGACAGCTTTGCACACTCTTGGCATTCTTTCAACCAGCTTCATGAGGTAGTCACCTGGAATGCATTTCAATGAACAGGTGTGCCTTCTTAAAAGTTAATTTGTGGAATTTCTTTCCTTCTTAATGCATTTGATCCAATCAGTTGTGTTGTGACAAGTTAGGGGGGTATACAGAAGATAGCCCTATTTGGTAAAAGATCAAGTCCATATTATGGCAAGAACAGCTCAAATAAGCAAAGAGAAACAACAGTCCATCATTACTTTAAGACATGAAGGTCAGTCAATACGGAACATTTGAAGAACTTTGAAAGTTTCTTCAAGCGCAGTCGCAAAAACCATCAAGCGCTATGATGAAACTGGCTCTAATGAGGACCACCACAGGAATGGAAGACCCAGAGTTACCTCTGCTGCAGAGAATAAGTTCATTAGAGTTACCAGCCTCAGAAATTGCAGCCCAAATAAATTATTCACAGAGTTCAAGTAACAGACACATCTTAACATCAACTATTCAAAGGGGACTGTGTGAATCAGGCCATCACAGTCGAATTGCTGCAAAGAAACCACTCCTAAAGGACACCAATAATAAGAAGAGACCTGCTTGGGCCAAGAAACATGAGCAATGGACATTAGACCGGTGGAAATTTGTCCTTTGGTCTGGAGTCCAAATTGGAGATTTTAGGTTCCAACCGCCGTGTCTTTGTTAGACGCGGTGTGGGTGAACGGATGATTTCCGTGTGTGTATTTCTCACCGGAAAGCATGGAGGAGGAGGTGTTATGGTGTGGGGGTGCTTTGCTGGTGACACTGTCTGTGATTTATTTAGAATTCAAGGCACACTTAACCAGCATGGCTACCACAGCATTCTACAGCGATACGCCATCCCATCTGGTTTGGGCTTAGTGGGACTATCATTTGTTTTTCAACAGGACAATGACCCAACACACCTCCAGGCTGTGTAAGGGATATTTGACCAAGAAGGAGAGTGATGGAGTGCTGCATCAGATGACCTGGCCTCCATAATCCCCTGACCTCAACCCAATTGAGATAGTTTGGGATGAGTCGGACCGCAGAGTGAAGGAAAAGTAGCCAACAAGTGCTCAGCATATGTGGGAACTCCTTCAAGACTGTTGGAAAAGCATTCCAGATGAAGCTGGTTGAGACAATGCCAAGAGTGGGCAAAGCTGTCATAAAGGCAAAGGGTGGCTATTTTAAGAATCTCAAATATAAAATATATTTTGTTTTGTTTAACACTATTTTGTTTACTACATGTTTCCATATGTGTTATTTCATAGTTTTGATGTCTTCACTATTATTCTACAATGTAAAAAATAGTACAAATAAAGAAAAACCCTTGAATGTGTAGGTGTGTCCAAACTTTTGACTGGTAGTGTAGCTGAATGTTCTGAGCCAGGTGACCTCACCAAGGCATCCTGATAGACGTTGGTCCACTGAACCTGCTTGGCACGGCTGCCTGCCAGGACCATGGGGCGGCCCAGCACATCCAGGTACTCCTGGTAACAACACACAGGAATTGCAAACAGTCCCAAATGGCACTGTATTCCCTTTATAGTGCAATACTTTTGACCAGGGCACATAGGCCTCTGGTTAAAAGTAGTGCACTATGTAGAGAATAGGGTGCCATTTGGGACGCACTCACTGATGTTACACAGGAAACGGAAAGGTATTTCAAATGACTACGTGCTATTGCTGATGGAAAGATGCTCAGTAAAATTCGTCCAACTTTATATATTTTCCTGTCAGGCTGTAAGTGGAAACACTTCACAGTAATAACCTCAGGGTAATAATATATACGCTACATTAGAGTCAGTTTCCAATAAACAACAACAATTCTAGGAAGTAGGAAGCAGTGCCAGGAGGAGAACTGGCTGACCCAGGATCAGCTGTGTAAGAGGCACTAGACAAACCCACCTGGGTGTTAATCCGTATGGCACAGATGGAGCGGATCTCAAAATAGAAACCTAGAGAGAGAGAGAGAGAGAGAGAGAGAGAGAGAGAGAGAGAGAGAGAGAGAGAGCGAGAGAGAGAGAGAGAGAGAGAGCGGCGCGAGAGAGAGAGGGGGGGGGGGGGGGGGTAACAAGAGAGATAGGTGAGAAACAGAGCTCACAATTATGGCACAGATGAGGGAGAGTGAAGATGGAGGTTGTGTATCAAGCGCTTATAACCTAGGCTAGGGGTTATAAACTGAAAGACTACAGTAACTTCTCTTAAGCAGACAAGTGTCATGTTTATTAGGGCACAAGGAAATGAAAACTGCCATTTTGTTACAACCCCCTACTGCATCTATTTTTGGACAAGTTAAGAGGGATCTTCACTGATGCGTGTTAGACAAAATAGCCCCTGCACTGATCCCACTCACCTTTATTGGCACACGCAATCCACTGCAAGGGTGTGACATCATAGTTGTGCTGCCCCACAGAGAATGTAAAGACCCGCACCTTAGGAGAAAGAGAATTCAAATAACCCATTCATCTTTATTCAGGGTCATTAACACGGAGATACACAGCCAAGTGTGATATCCATTGTGGTATCCTTTGACCAGAAATTCCAGTTGGAAGATTCCTGTAATCAGGAGGAAATAAGTAGGAGGAATTTTTTCAACCCTAGTGGCGCATTTATGGATTCCAAGAATGAAGTCATCAATGAATAAGGAAGAATGAAGTTACCAATGAAATAGTGATTGAAATGTCAGCTTATGTGTTTTGTGTGTGTGTTTAGTTTCTGAGAAACGGACCGTCTTGTTGGGCCAGTTGTACTGCTCAAAGATGTCCTGAGCTCGATCCTCTCCTCCATCCGTGAACAGCATGATTATTTTATTGCAGTGAGCTCGCGGGACATTCGTCTTCTAAAAACACAAAGAGAAAGAGAAACAGAAAGACAGTGTGTGCTAACATTAATACAAAACACAGCAAGTGAATGATTAATACAGAAAGTTAGTATGTGATGAATAAAGCAGGCAAGAGGGGACACTGTCTATGTCCCAAATGGCACCCTATTTCCAATAGGGCTCTGGTCAAAAGTAGTGCACTGTATAGGGAATAAGATGAGCTGTTCCCCTGATATGGCTTTCACTATGCTGCCCTACAAGGCAAAGGGCAGTAACTATGCAAACAGTGAAACTGAGAAAAATGCTTTCAAGTTTTTTTGCTTTCCAGCCAAATACAGTATGTTGTAGGAAGATAAGTGATAATGCACTGATGTATTATCTTATTATGAAGTAATGTTTTATGCATATCAATCATGCCCACTGATTTGACTTATGACCCCTAAAATGCAGATGCTGCACTCTGCCTTTGTATGACCTTAAACAACTATACTGAACAAAAATATGAACGCAACATGCAACAATTTCAACGATTTTACCGAGTTACAGTTCATATAAGGAAATCAGTCAATTGAAATAAATGTATTAGGCCCTAATCTATGGAATTCACATGACTGCGAAGAGGCACAGCCATGGGTGGGCCTGGGAGGGCACCCACTTGGGAGCCAGGCCCACCCACCGGGGAGCCAGGCTGAGCCAATCATAATGAGTTTTTCCCCACAAAAGGGCTTTATTACAGACAGAAATACTCCACAGTTTCATCAGTTGTCTGGGTGGCTGGTCTCAGACGATCCCGCAGGTGAAGAAGCCGGATGTGGAAGTCCTGGGCTGGCGTGGTCTGCGGTAGTGAGGCCGGTTGGACATACTGACAAATTATCTAAAACGATGTTGGAGGCGGCTTATGGTAGAGAAATTAACATTAAATTCTATGGCAACAGCCTTGGTGGACATTCCTGCAGTCAGCATTCCAATTGCATGCTCCCTCAAAACTTGAGACGTCTGTGGCATTGGGTTTTGTGACAAAACTGCACATTTTAGAGTGGCCTTTTATTGTCCCCAGAACAAGGTGCACTTGTGTAATGATCATGCTGTTTAATCAGCTTCTTGATATGCCACACCTGTCAGGTGGATGGATTATTTTGGCAAAGGAGAAATGCTCATTAACAGGGATGTAAACAAATTTGTGCAACAAATTTGGGAGAAATAAGCTTTTTGTTCATATGGAACATTTATGGGATCTTTTATTTCAGCTCATGAAACATGGGACCAACACTTTACATGTTGCGGTTATATTTATGTTCAGTATATATGAGTAATGCAAAGGCAAAGCGCAGTATCTACAATCTAAATGCGTTTATCCAACTTGTTGTTTTTCTGTTTGATGGAAACAGTTTGAGAGTTCTAACTACACTCCAACTTTATTTAATGGTGTTATGTACACTCCCATTCAAAAGTTTGGGGTCACTTAGACATTTCCTTGTTCTCCATGAAAACATACATGAAATGAGTTTGAATAGGAAATATAGCAAAATGCATAGGAAATGTAGTCATTGATGAGGTTAGAAATAATTATTTTTAATATAAATAATAATTGTGTCCTTCAAACTTTGCTTTCGTCAAATAATCCTCCATTTGCAGCAATTACAGCCTTGCAGACCTTTGGCATTCTAGTTGTCAATTTGTTGAGGTAATCTGAAGAGATTTCACCACATGCTTCCTGAAGCACCTCCCACAAGTTGGATTGGCTTGATGGGCACTTCTTACGTACCACATGGTCAAGCTGCTCCCACAACAGCTCAATAGGGTTGAGATCCGGTGACTGTGCTAGCCACTCCATTATAGACAGAATACCAGCTGACTGCTTCTTCCCTAAATAGTTATTGCATAGTTTGGAGCTGTGCTTTGGGTCATTGTCCTGTTGTAGGAGGAAATTGGCTCCAATCAAGCGCCGTCCACAGGGTATGGCATGGCGTTGCAAAATGGAGTGTTGCCTTCCTTCTTCAAGATCCCTTTTACCCTATACAAATCTTCCACTTTACCACCACCAAAGCACCCCCAGACCATCACATTGCCTCCACCATGCTTGACAGATGGCATCAAGCACTCCTCCAGCATCTTTTCATTTGGTCTGAGTCTCACAAATGTTCTTCTTTGTGATCCGAACACCTCAAACTTCGATTCGTCTGTCCACAACAAGTTCCCAATCTTCCTTTTTCCAGTGTCTGTGTTCTTTTGCCCTTCTTAATCTTTTGTTTTTATTGGCCAGTCTGAGATATGGCTTTTTCATTGCAACTCTGCCTAGAAGGTCAACATTCCAGAGTCGCCTCTTCACTGTTGACGTTGAGACTGGTGTTATGCGGGTACTATTTAATGAAGCTGCCAGTTGAGGACCTGTGAGGCGTCTGTTTCTCAAACTAGACACTCTAATGCATTTGTCCTCTTGCTCAGTTGTGCACCGGGGCCTCCCACTCCTCTTTCTATTCTGGTTAGAGCCAGTTTGCGCTGTTCTGTGAAGGGAGTAGTACACAGCGTTGTACGAGATCTTCAGTTTCTTGGCAATTTCTCGCATGGAATAGCCTTCATTTCTCAGAACAAGAATAGACTGACGAGTTTCAGAAGATAGTTATTTGTTTCTGGCCATTTTGAGCCTGTAATCGAACCACAATTGCTGATGCTCCAGATACTCAACTAGTCTCAAGAAGGCCAGTTTTCAGTTTCAGCTGTGCTAACATAATTGCAAAAGGGTTTTCTAATGTTCAATTAGCCTTTTAAAATGATAAACTTGGATTAGCAAACACAGGACTGATGGTTGCTGATAATGGGCCTCTGTACGCCTATAATATAATAATAATAAGATATGCCATTTAGCAGATGCTTTTATCCAAAGCAACTTACAGTCATGAATGCATACATTTTTGTGTATGGGTGGTCCCGGGGATCGAACCCACTACCTTGGCGTTACAAGCACCGTGTTCTACCAGCTGAGCTACAGAGGACCATTAAAAATCAGCCGTTTCCAGCTACAATAGCCATTTACAACATTAACAATGTCTACACTGTATTCCTGATCAATTTGATGTTATTTTAATGGACAAAAAAAGTGACCCCAAACTTTTGAACGGTGGTGTAGTTATTTTTTTATGTTTTGAATGTTTTATTGTAGTAACCTTCAAGCATTTTTTCGCCATAAGGTAAGAACTATTTCATCATGGAAATGTTTATACTTAAGAAATATATTACTTTGTATAACTATAATTTGAACACTGTCATTTGCTTTATGTTAGCTTGGTTTTACATATTTTGTTTGCTATCTCTCTTACCATTGTAGGCTAGGCCCTAATTTATGTGCTCTCTATCACCTATGGGTCCGCATGGCAAACACAAGGAAAGGACAAAGTACAATGCCCAAGGACTAGTCAGACATTCCCCCTCTGAGGGGACAAAATGTTATACTCTCTGTTACAGAATACAGAGGACTGACTATTGAATGTGTGATAGAATAATACTATAGTATCCATGTTTGGTATCTATCTGAAACTTGTTCACTGAGGATAACTCTGATGCTATCTATATGGATGTATGGTCTCTGTAGTAACTTGTATCTATACATGGTGAACTCTAAATTATTCTATGCAAAGGGAAATTATATGGTTGTCTCTGGAATTCTGTCATATTTACATTGGTCTCATCCCCCACACAAGCCTTTAGATGCTGTCACACCCTGTGCAGATTGGGACTGGTGGTCAGGTTACGGTAAAGTTGGTATCGTTTGATTGGTCAATGGTGGTTGGTTTTGGATTGAAAGAGTTACACCTGCAGATGTTATAAATGGAATTAAATGCCTTTGTTATCTCTTATCCTGTTTCCAGTCCATGGAGGAAGGTTGTATGGTCAATTCTCATTTCCTAGGCTTCTAGGCCTCTGGCCTAGTAAGCATCTCTTTGTTCATGCTTTGTCTCATAAGTTACCCTTAGGATCTATATGCCTAGAATTATGTTTAGTTAATGTCAGTATTGCTCTTTGTTGTTCTCTTGCTCAGTGTTAAGTAAACCTTTACATTGTTGATTCCTGCGTCTGCGTCCTGCCTCTTCGTATCCCCAGTACTCGTCACAGAGTGTACAAAACATTACGACAAAGTCTGATTTCGGTCTTAACTCAACTTTGACCCAATGTATAGTTACTGCTGTTTGCAATCGTACGGCATTATACTCTCTTATCTTTCTTATCTCCAGGTGCGTTAACAAGCGTACGTGATTTAGAGGAAGGCAAGGTTGATACTGTAAGTGTAAAGTATATTTAAGCAATAAAGCCCGAGTGGAAGTGATATCTTGGCCATATACCACAAACCCCTGAGGTGCCTTATTACTATTATAAACTGGTTACCAATATAAATAAAACATTAAACAAGTATTTTTGCGTCATACCCGTGGTATATCGTCTGATATACACACGGCTGAAATGCTGTTTCAGCCAATCAGCATCCAGGACCCGGTTTATAATACTGTATTAGTCTGGCATAACAACAACAAGGGAGATGGCTAAAGCAGAAGTGGATCTGGCAACCAAGCCATTGATACCACCAAGCCACAACCACAAGTACACCCAATTCCATACCCAACATGGTCTACTCCTTGAGAGCCATTCTTAAATGTTTTGCTGGTTGGCCTGTTATCTCTAATGAAATGTCATTAATGTGCTTGCTCAAAGCACACATTTTCTTTGGGAAATGTCCTTGTCTAGTTCATAGTAGGAGCCCTAAAGAATTGGGCATCACTTGTACAGAATGCGGTCGTTCAGAGTGTTGAGCTTTAAGTCATTTACGTTTAGTAGCTGATTGAAGGCAAAGTGGAAACCAGACTTGTAGTCTGTGGTGCCTTTAGCTTGCATGATCTGCACAGCCTCTTTGAAGATCTTCTTGTTGCGAACGTTGGCCTGGACCAGGTGTTTGAAGCAAGGGACCACTGCCTCTGCCTTTTATTAAACTGAAACAGGACAGGAGAGAGAAGGACAGAGCAGAAGTGGGATTGAGGAACAACTATGAGAGAGCAGGCTAGATAGACCGCAAGAGATAAAGACAGTGAGTGAAAGAGGAAATGGGTTATTAACAAATGTATAACCGTTCATATGAGTAATTATTGTGTTGTTTAAGGTTGTGAAACATGTTTTATGTTGATGTCTATGTATCGAAAAATAGTATGAAATAGAACTCTACAAAAAAAACAAATGCATAACCAATGAAATGTCAATCCCAGGTGTAACTACAGTAACTACCACACTATCAGACACACTCACCCTGGCCACGTTGACATAGTCGTCATCAGACAGAGTGTCCAGCATCTCCATCACTGATGCCTTGATCAGCTTCAAAGTGAGGCCGCTCACACTGCCACTCCTGAGGGGGGACAGGGGAAAGGTATCATGACACACACGCATACGCAAAAACACACACATGCACTCGTGCACGCATGCACACTAATTGCATGATGCAATACACTCCCCATGTAGATGCTTATCATGTGACATTGGTTGTCACTGTCATGCTCTTGACCCTGTGATAATGTGGCTGGCCAGTTGGCCGCAAGCACTCGCTCTCTCTATCTCTCACACACACACACACACACACACACAAACTGCACTCTCTTATAGTGTAACCAGTCATTTTGGAACTAAGTTATTGGAACTTAAATTAGAGAACTCACACATCAACAAGTATGATCATGTCTTTGGGAGATGAGGCCCCTTGGATGTACCTTATGAAAAAGAAAGAGAAGATCCCCAAATGCTCATCATAAGAATCCTCAAAATGAACTCTTCAACCATCATCAAAATCAATTATTAAAAGAGAACAGAATAGGTAACACATACCAAGGCCTTCTCCTCACATCATACAGGTCGATCTTATCAGGGGCCCTCCAAGGTGTGGCTACAGATAAGGTAATAAAAACATACAGAATTTTTACTTTCAGTTTTTATTTGCCCCTACCAGTCTACCACCAAACGATGATATTTGATACATATAAGACAATGGAACTAATATTGTATTTACATTTCATAGGTTTTGTGGTATTACCTTCCTTTGAGTTATTGTAACCTTTAAGTAAGCGCTCTGGATAAGAGTGCCTGCTAAATGACTAAAATGTCAATGTAAATGTAGATGCTTAAAGGACCAGTGCAGTCAAAAATCTGACTTTCCTGTGTTTTATATATATTTCCACACTATGAGGTTGGAATAATACTGTGAAATTGTGAAAATGATGAGAATGCCCTTCTAGTGTAAGAGCTGTTTGAAAATACATTTCAGCCTGTTTTGGTGGGATGGAGTTTTGGCCTGCTTGGTGACATCTCAAGGCGGTAAAATAGTTTATAGACCAATAAGAATGAGAGTTCCAAACCTCTCTGCCAATAACAGCTAGTTTTCACCTCCCGACTCCACTACCAGACAGTCCTAAAAAAAGTATTGCTTGAGAAATTTCTCTTTCCCAAAAAGCTATTTTAGTTTATTTTTGACAATTTTAATTGAAAACAATCACAGTCAGGTACTTAATTGTTACCCAGAAATAATAGGATATTGAGATAAATCACAGGTTTATAGCTAGAGACTCAGTGAGTGCATTCCAAATGGTACCCTATTCCCTATATACTGTAGTGCACTACTAGGGGCCCTGATAAAAAATGTTGCACTATCAAGGGAATAGGGTGCCATTTGGGATGCAGACAGTTTAGTTTCACAACCCAGCATATTTACAACCATTCATATAACCATATAACCATTCATATTCAAGTAAACTTGTATTGCTTTACAGTATATTGCATTGTCGTGAAGGAAAAGACCAAAGAGATCCTATAATTCTAATAAGGACATCCTGTATTCCTGTAATAACAACATCATGTATTCCTGTAAAAAGGGCATCCTGTATTCCTGTAATAAGGGCATCCTGTATTCCTGTAATAAGGACATCATGTATTCCTGTAATAAGGGCATCCTGTATTCCTGTAATAACGGCATCCTGTATTCCTGTAATAACGGCATCCTATATTCCTGTAATAAGGGCATCCTGTATTCCTTTTATAAGAACATCATGTATTCCTGTAATAAGGGCATCATGTATAAGGGCATCATGTATTCCTGTAATAAGAGCGTCATGTATTCCTGTAATAAGGGCATCCTCTATTCCTGTAATAAGGACATCCTTTATTCCTGTAATAAGGGCATCATGTATTCCTGTAATGAGGGCATCCTGTATTCCTGTAATGAGGGCATCCTGTATTCCTGTAAAAAGGACATAACGTATTCCTGTAATAAATGCATCATGTATTCCTGTAATAAGAGCATAATTTATTCCTGTAATAAGGGTATCCTATATTCCTGTAATAAGGACATAATGTATTCCTGTAATAAGAACATCATGTATTCCTGTAATAAGGGCATCCTGTATTCCTGTAATAAGGACATCCTGTATTCCTGTAAAAAGTACATAATGTATTCCTGTAATAAATGCATAATGTATTCCTGTAATAAGGACATAATGTATTCCTGTAATAAGAGCATAATGTATTCCTGTAATAAGGGTATCCTATATTCCTATAATAAGGGCATCCTGTATTCCTGTAATAAGGGCATCCTGTATTCCTGTAATAAGGACATAATGTATTACTGTAATAAGGGCATCCTGTATTCCTATAATAAGGGCATAATGTATTACTGTAATAAGGGCATCCTGTATTACTGTAATAAGGGCATCCTGTATTCCTGTAATAAGGACATCATGTACCTGGGTAGTAGCGGGTGACCCCAGTGGCGCTACCAAACGCCTGCCACAGGAGGGAAGGATCCTCTTGACTGTTCTCCATAAACACCTTCTCCAGCGCCTGGGTCCAGTTCAGCTCATTTAGAATCACTGGGGCTGAAGGGGAAGACCATGTAGAAGACATATTGGTCTCACTTACAGTGCCTATAGAAAGTCTACACCCCCTTTAACTTTTTTCACATTTTGTTGCGTTACTAAGTAGGATTAAAATGGATTTAATTGCCATTTTTTGTCAATGATCTACACAAAATATTCTGTAATGTCAAATTGGAAGACAAATTATATATATATTTTTAAAGATGAATGAAAAATCAAACACTAATATACCTCAATTAGATAAGCACTCACCTCCTGAGTCAGTACATGTTAGAAAAACCTTCGCAAGCGATTACAGTTGTGAGTCTTCTTGGGTAAGTCTCATAAGAGCTTTGCACACCTGTATTGTGCAATATTTGCCAATTATTCTGTAGGAGACTATTTGACTTCAGCCCGTTTTAGTTGCATAATGAGTCCGTTTGTGATTGCATAATCCACTTATTAGTAGTAATAACTTGTTATTGGTTAGGATGTTGGAGCTGGAGAGTGTTATTGCAGTGACAAAGGGAAGTCCAGAAAGTCTCTGTATGTCCAGATAGACTAATAATAATAATAATAATAACATGCCATTTAGCAGACGCTTTTATCCAAAGCGACTTACAGTCATGTGTGCATACATTTTTTTGTGTATGGGTGGTCCCGGGGATCGAACCCACTACCTTGGCGTTACAAGCGCCGTCCTCTACCAGCTGAGCTACAGAGGACACCTGCTCGTCGAACATCTCATTCCAAGATCATGGCCATTAATATGGAGTTGGTCCCCACTTCGCTGCTACAACAGACTCCACTCTTCTGGGAAGGCTTTCCACTAGATGTTGGAACATTGCTGCGGGGACATGCTTCCATTCAGCCACAAGAGCATTAGTGAGGTCGGGCACTGATGTTGGGTGATTAGGCCTGACTCGCAGTCGGGGTTCCAACTCATTCCAAAGGTGTTTGATAGGGTTGAGGTCAGGGCTCTGTGCAGGCCAGTCAAACAAACAATTTCTGTATGGACCTCGCTTTGTGGTACGGGGGCATTGCCATGCTGAAACAGGAAAGGGCCTTTCCCAAACTGTTGCCACAAAGTTGGAAGCACAGAATTGTCTAGAATGTAATTGTATGCTGTAGCGTTAAGATTTCCCTTCACTGGAACTAAGCGGCCTAGCTCGAACTATGAAAAACAGCCCCAGACCATAATTCCTCAACCAAACTTTACAGTTGGCACTATGCATTGGGGCAGGTAGCGTTCTCCTGGCATCTGCCAAACCCAGATTAGTCCGTCGGACTGCCAGATGGTGAAGCGTGATTCATCACTCCAGAGAACGTGTTTCCACTGCTCCAGAGTACCGTTCTGTGAGCTTGAAGGGCCTACCACTTCGCGGCTGAGCCGTTGTAGCTCCTAGACATTTCCACTCCACAATAACAGCACTTACAGTTGACAGGGGCAGCTCTAGCAGGGCAGAAATTTGACAAACTGACTTGTTGGAAAGGTGGCATCCTATGATGGTGCCACATTGAAAGTCACTGAGCTTTTCAGTAAAGGCATTCTACTGCCAATGTTTGTCTATGGAGATTGCATGGCTGTGTGCTCGACTTTATATACCTGTCAGCAATGGGTGTGGCTGAAATAGCCAAATCCACTACTTTGAAAGGGTGTCCACATACTTTTGTATATATAGTATATGTTATTGCTGTATATTAATATTTTTAAGGAAGTAGGTAAAGAGCCACAGTCGAGTTCAGTTCATGGTAAGGTCAGGCGAGTTTCTGTGGAACTAAGGCAGGGAGAGACGTGGAGTTTAAAATCGAGGCAGGACAAAGTTGAAGAGAGAAGAAACCTCTTTGAGGGGGGCTAGAGGGGCCCATCCCAACAACACTCCAACTGTAGTCTTATCTCTCACACACACACATCCCTGCCAACGAAGGTTCTGGACTCAGGCTACGATAAAACCAATAGGAAGATCACTCGGTTATGGCCCAGCATTACAGAGACGGATAGAAATACAATGAGGTGACTCCGCCTAATCGGAAGGTATAAATATATGCTTGTGTGAATTGTATGGGTGCTATGCAGCTGTAGCCTCCAGTTTGGGTGGAATATATCTAGTCTGAGCTTCCTCTGGTGTCCGACTGGATTTGTTCCAGAACTTAGAACCTAACAATTCTTTTAAAAATTCTTCAAGCTCTGTCAAGGTCTTGGGGATCATGGCTAGACAGCAATTTTCAAGTCTTGCCATAGATTTTCAAGCAAATTTAAGTCAAAACTTGGCCACTCAGGAACATTCACTGTCTTGGTAAGCAATTCCAGTGTAGATTTGGCTTTGTGTTGTAGGTTATTGTCCTGCTGAAAGGTGAATTCCTCTTCTAGTGTAAAGTGGACTGAAGCAGGTTTTCCTCTAGGATTTGCCTGTGCTTAGCTCCATCCCATTTATTTTCATTCTGAAAAACTCCCCAGTCTTTGCCGATGTCAAGCATACCTATACCATGATGCAACCAACACCACACTTGATAAAAAGGAGGCAGTTACTCAGTGATGTGTTGTGTTGGATTTGCCCCAAACATAAGGCTTTGCATTTAGGCTGTGGTTTTTCTGTTGCAGTATTACTTTCGTGCCTTGTTGCATACATACAGTGCATTCGGAAAGTATTCAGACCTTGACTTTTTCCACATTTTGTTACGTTACAGCCTTATTCTAAAATTGATGAAATTGTTTTTTCCCCTCATCAATCTACACACAATACCCCATAATTTTACTAAATGTATCAAATAAAAAAAACGGAAATATGACATTTACATAAGTATTCAGACCCTTTACTCAGTAATTATTTTTTTAGGGCGTAGATCAGCTTTAACACTGCAGATAGATTGTAGCTTCCATCAATGTAATTGTCTGCATCATTTCCAATCCCCCATATATTTTTCCTTTATTATTTTCCCCTAACCCTACCACCCCTCCCCTAATTGGAGTAAACTAATGGACACTTGGGCTTCTACTTCCAGCTTATACCTACTATATACATTTTACGGACACAATGTATTTTACAATAGTTATCTTTTGTTTGTTTTAAATCCCATCCTCCAGCTCCACTCAACCCCTCCCATCTATCTCTGAAGACCATCCAGTGTGTTTTCTATTTTGCCATATATTTTTAACTGTGCTGTTTCACAAAGGTTCGGAACCTATATTCATTTTATGGACACAATATATTTTACATTAGTTATCTTGTTGTTTTTAATCCCACCCTTCAGCTCTACTCAACCCCTCCCATCTATCTCTTAACACCATCCATTTTTTATTTCTATTTGCCATATATTTTTCAACTGTGCTGTTTTCATAAAAGTTATGAACATTTCTATCCTCATAGTTTCTACAGATTGTAAATTAAAGACAAACGTTTTTGCTAAAAGTATTATTATATTATTGATCGATTGACTATGAGCTTTCAAATCACCCAGTAGTGCTATCTACTTTTTCCCCCTTCCACTTGCCTCTTCCATTTTTGCGGTAATGCTGCAATTAGTTGGTTGTAATTTTGTGTAGAGCAGACATTTCCATATTTGTGTTAGCTGCATGTGTGACACAACTCCACCAGTCCTATTTATGATATCATTGACAAAGATTATACCTTTTTTTTCATAATATTTTTAAAAAATCAATTAGTATAAATTTAACCACAATATTTGTTGTATTATTTGTTCTGTCTTTTCTGGTGGATTAAACTGAAATTGCAACCAACTTTCTATGGCTTGTTTTAAAAATAGAGATATTTTTTAGATTATTTCATTTTCAAATAACCGAAGTGAGAGGTTGTAATCTGAATGCAGGGAAAAATGCCATTCTTGAACATGGGGTGAGACAATCTTACTAATCTGCTAGAGAACCAGTGTCACGCCCTGACTCTGGGGACTCTTATTTGTTGAGTCAGGGTGTGATTTTCTATGTGGTGTAGATCTATGTTTATAGTCTAGTATGTCTAGATCTATGTTGGCCGGTGTGGTTCCCAATCAGAGGCAGCTGTCGCTCGTTGTCTCTGATTGGGGACCATACTTAGGCAGCCTATTGGCACTAGTGGGTTGTGGGATCTTGTTCCGTGTGAGGTATGTTGTTTGTGTACCTTGGACTTCACGTTTCGTTTGGTTTGTTGTTTTGTCGTTGTTTATTCGGTTCAAATAAACATGTATGCATATCACGCTGCGCCTTGGTCTGACCCGTCTATGAACGATCGTGACAACCAGTTTGAATTTAAGTATACATTTTGAATGACTGAAGCCTTTAGTTAGAGGTCTAATGCTTTAATATTTAATCATTTCTGCACTCCGAATTCACATTCATTATATAAATAGGCCCGTTAAATTTTGTCTGGCTTGCCGTTCCAAATAAAATTGAATATTTTTTTCTCATATAATTTAAAAAACTGTATTTTCCTTTCATGGTAGCAAAGACTTATCTATTTTTGCTAACTTTCTATAAAAATGTATTGTTGTGAGATCATTTCTTTCTTTTGGGATATGTATATCGAGTATGTCCACATCACCGTCAGACCATTTTATTGGTAAACTACACAGTAATGTAGAAGTTGTATTTTTTAGTGATCCAATATGTACTATAGTACACCTATCATAATTTGGTTGTAATCCAGAGAGGTTAGAAAAAGTATCTAGACCCTCTATGAGGCTGTGGAGGGATCCAAATTGTGGATTTAAAAGAAAGCATGAATCATCAGCGTACAATGACACCTTTGTTTTTAAGCCCTTGATTTTTCTAACCCCTTGATATTATTGTTGGATCTGATTTGAATAGGTAACATTTCGATGGCCATAATAAATAGATATGCCGATAGTGGACAACCTTGTTTTACTCCTCTTGACAGGTTAATACTTTCTGAGAAGTAGCAATTATTTACTATTTTACACCTAGGGTTACTATACATAACTTAACCAATTTTATAAGAGATTCTCCAAAAT